CCCCAAAACCCCAAAACCCCAAAACCCCAAAACCCCTCTTCAAAATTATTAAATTTAAATTAAAATGACTCAAACCATCAGTTTCAAAGAACTCAGTGATATCATGTATGACGCCTGAATGCTAGGTTCGTTTAATTATAATATTTAGAACACTCAATGTACTCTGAACCGTTCAGGAAGATCCTTGAAGAAAATTATCAGATCGCCGATTATGATAAAATTCCAGTGAAGACTGTCTACAAAGCTCTTGGTAATTCACAAAATTAACATCTAGAGCATTGTCCACCTATTGGTGAGCTAGCCACCTTCCCAGCAGCCACGAATCGTATTTCAGGAGGATGAAACATTGAGCTGATCAAAGCATCTATCCAAATTATCAAATAAGGGCTTAATGAACAGAATGCAGATCAAAGAGGCAGTCCAAGCTTACCTTTATACAACTCGAGAGATTGGTAAAGATTGGATCCCTCTTGACCCGGAAATCATTGTCAAGTGATTCAGAACTATGGGGAAATCCATGAGCAAGAAATCCATCCAAAAATGGATAGAAGAGTACTTCAAAGACAAAGAATTTCATGAGATCAAAGAAGAACCTCCTCTAACAGGATACAAATATACAGATGATTGCATCAAGGATCGCCCAGTCAAGCCTGCTGATGGCCTCTATCCACACGAATTCATCTTCCTTGTCGCTCATGCAGACAACAGAATTCGTAAACTCAAAGAGTTTCCATCAAGCCTTAAGATGCTAAAATCAGGTACGCTCAGCTACCAATTTCATGAGCCATTAGCAACTAAAATTACTAACTCCCTTCTAGAAACTCAAAATAAAGGAGTGAAGGTATTCCTTTTATCAAAGAATCACAGAACAAAAGAAGCGTATAACCCTATATATCACATGAACATGGTATACCAGAAGATGTCCAAGGACTTTAAGTACAAGGCTGGGTATGATTTCTACCCTGATTTCAAGATCAAAAAGGAAGGTTACCCAACTCCAACCCCCAAAGTAAGCCTACTCATAATTCTGATATTCATTTGTATCTAGAAAGAGAAACGTGGAGCCAGTTTGTACACCATCAAGGGAGAGAAACAGGCAATCGCTTCGCTAAAGCTGAACATTTCCTACATTGAAAACAGCCTTAATAATAGTAAATCCTTACTCTCTCATATTTAGCTTATCAATTCCTGAACGAGCCTCATACTATTAACCCAAATATGCTTCAGAAATAAGAATTCGAGAAGATCCAGGAGAAGCAGACCCAGGAAGATAGGCCAGAAATTCAGTAAAGTTTTGATCAAAATAATGTATTCACATATACAGGCACAACTAGTGTGATCAAGCCGAAAGTGTTTAACAGAACATTGTCAAGACAGGGAACAAAGAAGCCAACCAAATCTCCTAAAATTTCATCTTTCATCGAATCAGACAGTTTTGCTGAGGAATTTGAGAAAGACCATTTCCAAAGTAATTCCCACATGAGTATTTTGGCATATTCTGTTGAAAACTTCAAAAAGGAATTTATATTTATGAAAAATACAAGCCTAATGACTTATATTCACCCATAACTCATAGTATGCACCTTAAAAATCTTCTTAATAAGTTCTATCCCTAAATGTGAGAGAATGTGCAGTTCTCTACTAGTTTGGAAACACTACACTAATAATGATAATTGCCAAAACTAGAGCAAACTAAAAGTTCTTTTTCACAGCTGAAGATAAATATAAAATCGATAGCCTAAGTTATCTTCCAATATATATTTTTATACCTCATAATCTGAGAATCCGCTTAAAATTAATGCTAAAGCCAAATTTAACAACATTATTTAGGCAAGAATACGACTAATGTAACTAAAGTCCCACATGTTTATGATACCATCAAAGAAAATATTAAAGAAAAGGAAGAAAGACTCCGAAGAATGAAGATTAATCCTAACATTACTACCCTTGCTTCTGATTCAGCAACTATAGATAGATGGTCCAAGAAATAGGTAATTTAGTTGAGATAAAGCTGTTTTGGACTTTTTGAGCTTCAGTCAATATATTTAGCAATATCAGCACTTCAGTGACCAGAAGAAGACCCCAAACTGCAAATTTCTATACCAGCAAGTCAAGAGATAAGCGAATTCTAAACTATAACGATTCAAAAAGGTAATTCTCCTCTAAAACTCCAGAAATTTCAGCTCCAAAAAGAGAAGAACTCAGGAGAAGTCATTTGGCAACAGTAACCTCCTACTAACCCCTAGAGCCCAAAATCAAAGAGGCCTGGAGCATCTACCATGGGACCCAGTCTGGCTTCTCTCTGCAACAGAAGAACTCCAAATGGTCAGTTTACGAAGGAAATTAGTTTCAATATTGACCGAAATGCCTGGGGTTTTGGGGTTTTGGGGTTTTGGGG